CGGATATTAAGGACCTATTAACCTTTATTAGGGTGTTGAGTTAACCCCTTTACTCTCGGAGTTAACCGTCTTCCTCTGACGATAAGCTACGGCAGCCCCGCTGCACATACCGGACAGAGAAAATCTGCGTTGCGCGTCTTGTCGAAGTAACGCGCGTTGTACCACCGGAGACACTCGTAGTCCAGCGTGTGGCTGCATTGCGTACCTTCCAGCACAATCCCAGTAATGACGTCATTGCAGACGGCGCACTTAGGGGGTGCTGGCACATGTCGGACAACAAGAACTTCATCGCCTTCAACTTCAAGATTGACGGGAAACCTGCAGTTGGGGCACCTTGGATCATGTATCAAGGTAGGCTTGACGCATTCCCGGTGGTACCGTTGTCGGCACGTAAAACGGTCGCATACCCACAGTCTACCATCCAAAGCATCCCCACAGACGCTACAGTCAGTAACGCCTTCTCGTGCATTCTGACGTGGAGTTTCTTCGTTATCGCGGGGTCCTTCAGAATTCTCTTCGGCGACGTCATCCACTTCAAACTGGACTTTAGTGGTCTCAGGGGGTTCAACTAAAGGCGATGCTTGAGTATCTTCAACCTCCACGTTTTCGTCATGATCCTCGTCTGCGTCACTCTGGAGTAGCTCGTCGAGCTGATTACGCTCCAAATCAACGAAAAAATCAGAAAAATCATCATCCGGTTCCAGGACCAGTTGGTCAAGGTCAGGTAGAGCTTGATTGTCTTGAGGATGGGCTTGCAAATTGGCTCGTCTCTGATTTCGCTGCTGTCATCGCCACGCTGCGTCCCTCTCCCTACGCGCTTGGATCATCTGATTCCGATGTGCGGCACGCTCAGCCGGAGACCGGCAGCGTGATCCAGCCTGGTGACGGGTTAAGTGGTGCCGGTTGCCTCTCACCCACTGCCAACAGATTTCGCAGAGCTGACAAGGATCCGCAGGTATACCACGACAGGGGCGTTGTTGGTGACGGCGGAGGTTGTCTGAGCGCTCAAAGTCGTACAGGCAATCGCTGCATACATACTCTGGTACATCGACCAAAATAGCACTGATATCCATACTGTAAATCAAATAAATTATTATTTAAATTACGTCGTACCAAAATGGACCAAATATATGTTTCAGCAGACTAAACCTTTCAGTCGCACGTGCGCCTCGAACCTGTCGCACCAGTATAGCAGTAGGACTTCGCGTCCAATTCGGTAATGAAACCCTCATTGTCTGGATCCGGCGCAGGTGGCGGATGTGACTCGTGCGATATGTACCTATCAGCAGCCAATAAAAAGTCCTTACCCTGACCCTATATCTGATTCAAAATGCACACGCCATTGCTAAAACTGTCTTCTGATCTGATTCCGTTCACACTAGTTTAACCTACCCTCTCATAAAATCGCACACGCTCAACGAAGTCCTACTTCTTAAAGTTTTATTTTTTGCTGAACGGTTAGGGTAAAGAAAATAAAAGTACCCCGACAAGACAAAAAAAAAACGATAAGAAATTATTCTGAAAAATGTACACACAAATGAGCTTCAAAAATATTGAATCAAAATATGTTGTTATATTCCTCGATGTCATCGGTGTACGTACGCGGTACACTGTATGGTATCATCAGAGGGCGAGTTGCGACCAAAGTTATCCTCTTTTATTTGATTCATTGTTACCAAGCTAACTACTGTGGTGATACTCTTCAAAGTCATCTTCGTAGCAGCTATCACCGTCCAAAGGATCGATATCTGCTTTTGATGAGGCCCTAAGTGATCTGCGCCGAGTAGCGATTTTCAACGGCGCGACGCTCCCAAGCAACTTGCACTCGTTATTGATGCTTTCTCCGTTGTGTCGAATACGAGACCGAGACAATAAATCGGCATCCTCTGTTTCAATAATTTCCTGGATGTCATCGCTGTCCCATTCGGTGTTATTGTCGCAGGTGTTGGGGCTTCGACCATTCAAGCGGCGAGGTTGTTTCGCCTTTGCTGAGGCTGTACTTGAAACCTCTTTACCATCATAGTGCTTGAAGTCAAGACGGCACTTCTGATCTGCCTTTAATTCTGTATGGTGCGCTCGAGATGATGCTCGCTCTTCACCTGGTATGTCTTCCTCAATACCATCGTCATCGCTCAAGCGAGATGCTCTCCCTGAGCGACGTCTTTGCTCACGATCCCTAAGCTCAGCGTCTCTCAATGGTTTCAAGAATGGGTGCTCAAGACACTGTTTAGCTGACAAGCGAAGTTTTGGCTCAAGCTGCAAAGTGTTAACGAGAAAATCCAATGTTCCATCAGGAAGAGGTCGATCACCTAGTAACTCCTGGAAAGATTTGGATGCTGTTTGAACAGAGACGACACCCCGTGGTAGTTTAGCATGAAGCGCGGCTGGAAGAGGGCCCAGATAACTCTGGATGAGGTTACTGAAACGTATATGTAAGAAAAAAAAAAATCAGCGATCCATTGTTTCAGGCAAAACGGATGTGCACGCCTACATTTGTTCGATTTGGGTGTTTCCAGGGAAGAGTGGGCGGCCCATTAGCAGCTCCATGAGCACGCACCCCACGCTCCACATGTCGGCATCAAATGAATAGCGGTCGAGCCTTAAACACAATCACCGATTATAGGTTTCATGGGTGAAAGAAACATCTTACCACAAAGCCTACCGCAACTCTTGCTCCGGTGGACGGTACCAACGCGTTGACACGTAATCGGATAGTGGATCACCTTCAAATTGCACAGTCCGCGCAACGCCTACACCAGTATGTTATAGTGGTGTTCACGGCGAATTCTCCAGATTTAAGCTTACCAAAATCGCACAGCTTGATATCACCGTTTTCATCGATAAGGATATTGTCTGGTTTGACATCTGTCATAGTCCATGTGGTTTAAGATGGCGAAGTATATCGAGGAATCATCCAGCACTATTATTCATAGTATCGCCATTGCTTACCCCGATGAATGAAGCGGTTGGAATGACAATATTCCAGAGCCTTGCAGAGCTGAAAGATAATTCTTCTGGCTTCCAGTGGTTTTACTCCCCTTTTGTTTTTGGACAAAAGCTGCCACGACCAAAGGTAAATGCGTTTGAATACCGACCACAGAATAAAAAACTTCGCTGTTGACCGTACCTTCACCAAGCCTTCGCACACGAAATCAAACACTAGGTGTAGTAAACCCTCATGCCGGAAACTGTTGCGATAGGGCACAATATTGGGATGGCTGAGCATGGAGCATGCTTGAATCTCCCGCTTCGACAACTGCTCATCTAAGGCAGCAGCGAGACTGTTATTGTATGTGCTGCTACTGACGCATGGATAGGTAGTCCCAGGTTTGCATTGCATTACCACCGGTCGACTTAAACTTCTTGATTGCCACGTAGTCACCACTAGCCTGTATTCCATACATGATACTTTAGTGCACGCAAAAGCACGAGCAAAACAGAGAAACAGAAAAAAAAACGTACTTTTTCCTTGGCTTTATACACGATACCATACGTGCCCTCGCCAATGACTTTCTCCACTACGTATTTGTCCATGTTGCAATCCTTCTGTCTCCGCCAGGAAAGCGTCGTTTGCAGCCTTTTTCCGTTTCGAAATTTACTATTCTGGAGCTATCTATACGAGCAATTCCGATCACCACTGAGAAAAATTGCCGAACCCACTGGACGACTGCTTCTTGCTTTTCTTTTTGCTTTCAATGGCAACAGGCATTGCTGGTTCTAGCGATCGCTTCTTCGAGGTGTCCGACTTGGTCTTCAAATACTTCCCAACGTTCTCGTCTTTGGTGGTTTCGCTTGTGGGAATGCTTGCCACATCTACTTCCCCAAGATCGTCATAGGCAACCCATTTGCCGCCAACTTTTAGGACAGTTCCTTGCACCTGAGGCTTTGCCTCACGAATCGCCTTTTCTTTGGCAACCTGCACGGCATCCAAGCCTTGCGCTAGTGCTTCCTCGTACTCCTGGAACGGGTTAATGAATACCTGGACATTCTTGATGCGCACATCCTCGATAGGGCGGTCCTCAGCCCCAGTCCCCACGTGCTCAATGACATCCAGCACACCCATCCCCCCCACAACCCGTCCAAATACCGCGTGCTTCTTGTCCAGATGCGGACATGCTTTGAAAGTAATGAAAAATTGCGAGTTGTTCGTTCCAGGTCCGGAATTCGCCATACTCAGCACACCTCTCGAGTCGTGGGACTGCATGAATCACACACAATAAACACAGTTACGAGAGAATTACAGCCTGAGATACATCGGGTCTACCCTTACCAATCGACTGTCGATTTCATCACGGAACGGCTTCTTCCAAATGGATTCGCCACCTCGGCCTGTGCCCGTCGGATCTCCTCCTTGCATCATAAAACCCTTTATGACCCTGTGGAATAGGACGCCGTCGTAGTATTTCTTCTGACACAGGCTCATAAAGTTGTCTGCTGTTTGTGGAACGAAATCACAATCAACCTCCAGGTTGATGTCGCCGAGAGTTGTCTCCAGGCGGACGAGGCCTTTCTTCTTCAGCTTCCGAACAGCCTGCCATCTTCGTTCGAGCAGCTCCTGATCAGAGGCTAACGCCTTCGCATTTATTGTTACAGGAGCTCTCACGCTGGACGTAAATGAACTTGAACAATCACCAGCAGTGAACTGCGAATACTGCAGCTTCCGTGAGCCCGCCGCATTGTTTGCTGCTGTTTCTTCCTCCTTGGACACGTTACTGTGGGTTAGTGAAGCCACAATCTTGTCTTTCTCACTCACGCCATCAGCTCCACGTTTGATCTTGTCAGCTAGCTCCTTCTGTGCCGCTCGCTTAGCTTCCAGCTACAATGTAAGAAAGCAAGGAACTGTTATGTATCTGCAACCCAATGGATTTAAAGTCCCCGCCATACCTCTTGGAGAATGCGGTCTGTCGCGGCATTCGTGCGAATATTCCGAGTTGCGGTTGTTGTTGAAGTATTCTACATCATACGCATTGCAATTAAAATCCAAATGCCGTTGACAAGATGTGAGTTGCATGCGCCATTTACGTTTTCGCTCGCTTTCGCACGCCGTAGATGCTCGAAGTTTTCGATTTCACGGTTGGAAAAGTCTTGCGGATCCTGGAGAATGACGATATCTTTGCGCTTAAACTTTGCGCCGGAAATGAGGTCCTGTCGTTCCAGCAAACCGTCATTAGACTATCTAAGACATTTTAGAAAGATGAGGAGTCGTAATTTTCGTACCGTCCAATTCTTTGGTTTGATGTTCAGTTCTTCGACTGCCTCATAGCAGAAAACATTGCCCGTAGTAGCGATAGCGGCGATCTTGGTGTTATCAGTGAAGACCTTGTAGGTTACGGGGCAGAAATACTCTCCTTGTGAGTTCTTGCTGAAGTGTAACTGGATGAGATCTTTAAGTGCCAGCGGCTTGCCCGTCACTGGGTTCTATGAAGGATCGATACAATATTCATGTGAGTGTAATCCATTCTCTGTAATTTTCAGAGACCTCGACTGCAGGACTTACGATCTGGTGTTCCTTGACGTATGGCACGACTGCCTCGAGATCGAACAAGTGGCCCTCGCGTGTGCACACCGGGTTCTAGAAACGCAGACAAGAGAGTTAGGTGGAGTGCGAAATGCTAGATAGGAGATAACTGCAAATGCGTACCGTGAAGGGGCAAAGGGTGATGGCGCAGCAGTTAAATGGCAGACCTGCAGCATAGAAAATCTGAGCAAATAGAGCAATACTGCAAAGACAAGAGAGATGCAAGCGAGCTTACGCTTGTAGGCACGGCGAATCTCTTGTTTCTTGCCGCCGTAGAGATACTTGTGCTCGGTCTGCGTGATGAACAGCCGGTCCTTGCTGTGACGATTCTTGCCCATAGTTTGCTGCCAATAAACGAAAATGAGAGTGCAATATAGTTCTTCAGTTTAGTGACATAGTGACGACTATTTGGCCTATTTTAACGCTAGCCATGAATAGCGTTGTTAAAAACTCCCTGTTTTGAAAGAAAGAAGGGTGGGTAATAGCTCATGTAGGGGTGGGTGGGTGAATTGCAATGGATTTTATCACTACAATTTTTAAGTTGGAGTCAGTGTTTAAGCCTTATTCCTTTTTTTCGGAACCCAACCGATAGTATATTCAACCCAAAAATTCCATTATTCCATTAATCAAACCAACCCTGCCATGTTGCGAATGCAGCTTCGGCGAGTAGCGGCCTCGGCGCGTCGCTGGGGCACACATCCATCCGCTCCAGCCGTTAGCACCACGCCGTTTACTGTAGCAGTTAAAAGCACTCGCCCTGCGCTAGCTCGTAGCTTTCTGCTGCCAGTCACAGCCGCCCGGAGCTTCTCGACGTCTTCCAGCAGCATCTTCGACCTGGCGCAGGCGCTTAAGGCCAAGGAAACGTCCACCGACGACCGCGTTGCTGCGATCGATGCACTGGGGCTGAGTGATTCATTGGATAAGACAGTCAAGGAGCGTATTGCACTTGAGATTGTGGATAGCAACGCGCTGGAGGCGCTATTGAGCTTTCTGCAAGACAGCGACACCATTGCCTCGTCCGATTTACTAGTGCCCGCCTTCCTGGCACTTATCCGCCTGTCGACTGACCCGCTGCTTGCTCAAGAACTCCTGAGACTGGATTCACCGAAGATCCTGACCCCATTTTTGACCCAGACGGACCCACGACTGCAGGCGGCTGCTTGCCTCACGTTAGGCAACTTGGCGCTCGAGCCGACTGCTGCGGATGCGGTATCTTCTCCTGACGTTGTGAGCGCAGCCTTGAGCGTGCTGACGAACTCGCATGAAGCTATTAAACGAGCTGGCTGCACTTGTGTGGCTAACGTCGCTAGTAGTGCTCAAGGCCGTCGTCAGATCATTGACCAGGACGGCGTGCTGCGCATGGGTGAGCTGCTTGAAGACGAGTACAGCGACCCACTCCGCAGCGCATCAGCCTTTGCGTTAGGAAACATCCTCTCCGGACGGGACATTGATGCGCAGGACTTGCTGCGTGAGAGTGGTGCGTTGCCGGCTCTTGTGCTGTTGCTGTCACCGGTATTCGCCGAGGACGTCAACAGCAGCGCTGCTTGGGCTGTGCATCACGGTGTGCACCTTAATGCAGCGAGCCAGTCGCTTGTGGCTGAGGCTGGAGGACTGGCGCTGCTGGTGCAACATCTTGCCAGTGGAGCATTGGAGTCGCTGCAGACCAACGCGTTGTTGGGTCTGGAGAGCGCTGTGATTTCCAACGACGAAAACTTGGACTGGTGTCGTGACAACGGCGTTCTTGAGGCCCTCCAACGTGTCCAGGATACGGATGGCGACGCCCTCAATACCAATGCTAAGCAGGCTCTAGCCTCTCTGCTAGAACAACTGAAGTAGAACAACATGAAACCAGGCTTTTGCTACCTATTTTGTGTATTTAAGACAGCTGAAAACGCCTAAGGAGGGAACATTTTGAATTGTCTGTCAGTACTTACTCATTGCTGCTGTGCGTGTGTGGAGTACTGGCACAGAATGCTAGCCGGATTGAGCGCGACACTCTGTCGTTTGAAAGTGTCACGAACAGGGCGGCCACGACTACAAACAGGAAGAACCAGACTGGAGCGGTGGAAGGGCCCTTAGCCGAGCGATTGTTCACTACCTCCTGCCGCAAACGCGCCTTCGCCTCCTCCTCATCTTCACCGATATCTGCGCCGTTCTCAGCGTGAGCATCTGCTGCATGTTGTGCAACCTCGGCGTTGGGGTCATCATCGACAACTGCCAGCTCCTTCGGCGGATCGACAGTCTCCTTCGTGGGCACTAGTGTTTGTGTTTTTACTCCTTCTTGCTCGGCTTCCTGAGCAACCTGTTGCTGCGGGGTGGGTTGAGCGGCCCCATCCGACGTCGCCTGCAGCTTCCAACCATTTCCCATAAGAGCCTCTACTTCCGTCGCGTTTTCATAAGGCACCCAGTGAAGCTGCTCACACGACTCGGTATCGTTCACACCGTCCTGGAACGTCACGCCAGAGAACTTCAGATACGTCTCAAACGAGCGCACCGATCCGAAGCCGTAATTATCAAGCTCATACGTATCGACCATGCCCTTAACGGGTTTACCAACCAGGTGTTTAAAGCGGTTCACAGCCATCTCGCTCTCGCGCTTCTTCACCTGCGGATCTACCGTAATGTGCTCAAAACGAGCCGGGACCTTTGAGTAATTGTGGTAGATAACGGAGCCCAGCTCACTGGGAGAGTACATGTCGTATCCACTCGTCCACAATCGGGATGCACGCAAGAATTCCTCACCGTCGAACATCCATAGCGTATGTGAGTCCACAGGAACTCGCCGCTCGGCGTGGCACTTGTTGAAGGACAGGCCAGCACCCCAAAGGGCCTCCAGCTGCGGGAACTTAGAGCCGCTGATCATACTAGCGCCAACAGTACGCACCAGACCATTGGACCCTCGCATGGTCGAGCACAAATGTGGCAACGAAGCCGAGAGCGCATTGTCGCCATTCTCCTTGACGAAGTCGTGGATGTGGTGCAAATACGTGGACAGCACAGCCATCTCGTTGTTGACGCGCTTCCATTCAGCCAGCAGGTTTTCGTCCCAGAGGTTCGTGAAAATGCTGTGGCCGTCCAGCTGCAGACAGAACTCCTCTTGCTGGATCAACTTTTGCTGCTGGTGGCGCGCGAGCGTGGGGCCGCGCGATTCGGAGGCCTGGCGTATGTCCACGCGGATGTGATCTTTGTAGGGGCATGGTCCCTTGTCGGGCCACTCAGCCTCGGCCATCTTGCAGAACTCATCGAGGCAGCGCTCGTCGCCGTCGTTCACCTGGTCCACCACGCCGAAAAAGAGTCTCTCCGGGTACTTGGCACGTTTCAGTCCTGTGAAAATGGTCTTGCCACAGCGGAATCCATCGCGGAAGACTGAGAGGCCCACGAAGATGTCGAACGACGCGGGGATCTGTGCCGGCGGAGGCCGCAGCTGGGCCTTCGCCGGGTCTAGCGGAATGTGTTGTACGCTCGGGTCCAGTTTCACGGAGCGCTTCGTGTTGACGATGCCCATGACGGATTGCATACCCTCGGCCGATGCGGGCGCCAGCAGCAGCGTCAGCAGCAGCAGCAGCAACAACATCCTCGGCGAAGCCATCGTCGTCGCCTCGAAGTTCGGCTTGGGAATTCGATACTGAAGGAGAGTCGGAGCTTGGCCAAAGGCAGAGGTAGCTTGATTGACGTCACTCCCGACCAAAAAAGGTTTTTTGGTATTACACAAAAATTGGTCTTTCTGTCCAACTACACTCATTTGAGCAATCGCGTCTTGGCCACCTGAGCTGCATCGCATAGAAGGTTGGCGAGCTGTGGCATCCGTGTGACTCGGGTACTGAATTGCCTTGAGTCATTTGCGTGTAATGCCGCCTCTACTGGCGACACCAGGCCAGAATATTCCACAGTGTCGCCTAATAGATTGGAATCAGGATTTATCTTGATGGGAAACATTCTGAACTGGTGGGTTATCTCAATTGACATCTACAAGGTTACTGTCCTGTTATTTTGCTCAAATGCAGCCAGCGATCCAATTTCAGGTTCACCCACGTCAACTAGACGCTCGTTTGGCGCACGGCGCAAGGCCACTTTACTTTGGTGCTCGTGCTTGAATGCGTAGACGACGTGCTCAATCCCACAGTGTGACCTGACAATCGAGACGTTTCAGGAGAGGAGGACCTTGGCAGTTAACCGAACTGAGAACTTATCCTTGACTATCCTTTCCAGAGACAAATATGCTGTTTGATACAGAACGTGGTCCACTATTCTGTGTGCTTACGAGAAACCTCTTTGGTTTCTTCTGCTGTACTACCAACAGTGGGAAGCGTGCCGAAATGGGAGTTAACACCCTTGGCTCACCTCCCGCCAACTCAAGATTCGTTCGGCAAGGATATTTCAATTACTTCGCCTAAATGGAATCTGGAATCCAGGTAACCTTTGAAACAGTATGACGGGGCCCGATAAAAAATGTATTATCTGTGCTGTGAAAATATGCAACCCGACCGCCAGGGATCTCGGGATGCCATTGAACTTAAAGCCGAAGGTGGGGCAGCGCAATAAGTTCTAGAATGCTCAACACATACACATGCATTTTGGCGGAGAAGAGTTTAGGAATGCATGCTTAACTAAGCAATCAGTGCGTGATTGGCTAAAATTCGAATATTAACGAAAAGTATTAACGATAAGAGCCTCCTCATTGCTCAATCTGCCTGCCATCATGGTCGGGACTCCCGTCGACACACCGGCGGAGACCCTGCACCCGTACTACAGACTACTACCGTCGTATGTGACGCCTGATAGTGTGCAGGCTGAGTGCAATGATTATCTGCGTCGGATCCAGGTAAACCGCCCTGAGGAGTTGGAGAATGCGAGTAGGATCGTATCGATTAACAACTTGTTGGTGCTTCTGCGTGCATTGCTGTATAGGAAACACTTCTTTGTTTGGGAAATTTGCGCGATGAAAACACACAGGAAAACTTGCTCCAGAACCGCCATTTTCGAGATTTAGACACGTTCTTCAAGCTGAAGCACGAGCTGCCATTGGAGCTGCACTCACAGCTGATTAGAGTGTTAGTGGAGCTGCTGTGGACGCGCAATGCACGCGCTTTCAACGATGTAGACATGGAAATCCGCGCTGTGAAGGCACTGCAATTATTGCTACAGAAGTGGAAAAAGCGTCATCTTTGCGAGGAAGATGCGGAGGGGCATGATCTTGTGATTGACTGGAGATCGGTAAAGCGCGCGATCGAACGCGTGTGCTTTCGGTCGCCCGAATACATTCAGCAGGCTTCGCAGAGTTATCTAGCAAAGCTCATCAATACAACGATCAAATGTTCGGAGGTGGCGCGCAGTTTCTTCCGAGCGACAGATCCTGCGGTGCCGTTTGTGCTGGAGCTCTGGACTGAGTTCGGGGACACCATTAAGGACGTGAAGACGAACGAGTGTTTCCGTGCGTTGGCATTCTTCTCGTTTTTCGTATCTCTACCGACATCCGAACAAGGAGCGACAGAGAAGGCTGTCGTGGAGTTGCTGCCGGACTGGATGTCAATATGGTCGCAGATTTCTAGATGCTCCGAATGGGACGGCCACTGGATCAAAATCCTTTCTCGGGTTGCCAAGCGGTATCCCAGCACAGCGATGTTTGATGAATACCTCCCGTTTGTGTTTGCGAAAGTGAGTGACCTCTTGGAGCTTCCTTCGGATCTCGGCTCCCCCTTCAAAACACAGTCGTGGCCATCGGTGTATTCCTCGATGAATGGCTCAAAGCGCTTCGGGCAGCACGCAATGCGACTGTGTGTGTATCTCTTGCGCAATGCAAACGACGGTAAGAGTGATTACACTCCGACTCGGTATCTCCTAGAAGTTCTAAGCTTGATGAAGTCCTTCTTCCATCCCTCCAATGTCGCCAACGTTGGCAATTCACTGGCTACATTCGTCTATTACCTGAGCAACGCGCTTGCGAAACGACTTGGACGTGAGAAAAAAGATGAAAAGCGTTTGCAACTGGCTTCGATCTCCAATGTGGCCGATGCAACACTGGAACTTTGCTTGCTGGGAATATACTCGAAGAACCGGGGAGTAGCAACCAGGTGCATGTACGTGATGAAGATCCTTCTGTGCATCGACTCTGCACGTTGTGCTGCTCCGGTGATGCAGGAGATGCTTAAGGCGCTTGACCCTATGGCCATGAGTCACTCGCACTTGGCGGTCACTGCGATATCGTCGATGGCGGTCTTTTTACCGCAGTTGATGTGTGGACGGCATCCTCAAAGTACGGGGTTGTTCTACGCTACTTATTTGAAGCCTATCTTGAAGCTGACGCTCCCGGGGATTGATGCGAACGATGAAAAGAAGACACAGGCGACAATTCATCTTTATTTCAACCTGCTATCGTGGCTACCGCTAGTGAACGACCCAGCCAAGGCCAACTTCCAGAACACAAAGCACAGAGGTGAATTGTCGAACCAGTTGTTCGCTGACATGGAAAATAGCCTATTTGCTGAATTGGGCACATTGGAGAGACAAATTGACGAGGAAATGTGGGGAAACGGGCAACTTTTGGAAGAATGGGCGCTTGCGGTGCTGGATCGGTGTTTCCAGTTTATTCAGTCGCGCTCAGGTGCCAGATCATCCTCGTCCTCTCCGAACACTGATAAAAGAAGAAGCGGAAAGTCCTCCAAGAGCGATGGAAGCGAAGACGCGATCGTGCTGCAGGTTTTGAATTTACAAGCCCTTTTATTTGCGCAATTATCTCCAGAAATCTACACGCAGTGCTTGCGCAAGACAGTGGCGTTCGTGTCAAACGCATTCTACACTACATCTTTTGGGGGGAAAGTAGTCTCCACGTTGATCTTCAATTGTATGCAAGGAAATCCGTCCGAGGCTATCACACAGTTCATGCCACTCGTGCTGGATAAATTTCACGTTACGAAGACTGGCATCGATGTTTCCAGCTTGATGGTGAACGAAAAAGTGTGGTATTTGCGCATTCTCACTGGATTAGTGCGCTTCAGTCACCCTGATGACCGCATCTTACTGCGTTATCAGCACGAATTGGAACTGATCCTGGCACATTTTCTGAGCAGCGACGAAGATAAGGGAGTTTACGAAGCTGCTGGTGCTGTCCTGCGCTATTTACTCTTTGGTCTTCTCGGCGTGTACACGCATGACTTTCGATCGTTGCCTGTTGCAGAGTGGGCGGATGCAATTTCTAGCGAAAGTGGCGCATTTCAATACCTGGGCGCTGGTATTTCGTGGAACAAGCTCTCGGTGGCGTGGCATGAACCAAACGAAGCTGAACTTTCATTCGGATTCAAGCTCATCCAAACTCACGTTGTTAGTGCTCTTGATGAGTTGGACCGCTTGAGCGAAGCAGAGGATCTAACTGTTCGCTCGTGGACGCGTCTCCTCAATCAAATAGTTCAAGGACTTCGTGGAGCTTCAAATGTGCTCACTGACGAAACTGTGCACGCGAATGGGGCGCTTTTAGATGGTGCTCACTCTCTGCTCCACAAGGCACTGGACACTAACTTGGAGCTCTACAAGAACTTTGTGTCCCTGAAAAGTGAACTGATGAGCCGGGTGCACAGAGTTATTGTGTTTTGGAGAGAGAGGGGAAGCGGCAGTGCAATGGAGAACCAGGTGTGGGATCTGCTTCTGGATGTCGCGCATCAGCTTCTTATTTGGAGAGGGGAGCATCTTGACGAGTTTAAGATGAGAGAGGCTCAAAACAGGTATTCCAGAATGACGAGCTTGGATGTTGCATCGCATGCCTATCGGAAAAGTGGACGTACAGCAAAGGGAGAACAAGTACCGCTCTTATCGCGCAATGAACTAGTGGAGAAGGTGATGTTTTTCTATGCTAAACGAAAAGTGCAGCAGCACTTCGCACTTGCCAATGTAATTATGCAGCCAGAAAGTGATGAGGGTACACGCCAACGCTACGAATCGCTTTTGACGGAGGTTGAACTTCTTCTCAAGAATCCTTACGAAGATGTACGAGCCGGTGCCGCCGCAGTAATGAAGGAGTGTTCGGTGCTGTACGCTAGATGGATATATTTCCGCCAGTCGAAACATATTGAGAACCTTGAGGGACTCGACGACGTACCGCTGCTAAAGGAAGAGCAAGTATCGGGTGTACTTCACATGCTTTCCCTGCCGCTTGCCCGAAGAAATCTGTGGAAGCGACGGGATGTGCTACTGAAACGCGTGCTTGTGGTGCTGTTGAAGAGTAACAACGCAATTGTGAAGCACGTCGATGGCGAAGTGAGCAAGGCGAGGATCGAAATGAAGCTGCAAACTTTTTTCCTGTCGCTATTGTCGAACTGGCGATACATTCGTGACCAGGAAGCGGGGTCAGCCCTCCTTGAAGCCCTTGTGAATGCAGAGCCCTCCTCAGCAGAGCATTGGAAGTTCCAGTTGATGCATTTGGTGACTATATATCCGTTCTTGCAACCGAGAGTCGCGATTTCGGTGGATGTGTGGAAGCTGGTGATTCGCCAATTGAGTAACGAAGTGCTACCAGTTCGACAGGTTGCTTTGGAAATCTTTGGCCACCTTTTGAAGGTACTGAAGCGCGACGGCAAGGAAGACGCGTCCACATGCGTGGAACTCCTTCACGAACTTATCTACGCTGACAGTACGATACGCGCTCTTCTGGATGCTTTCGTCAACAACCACAAAAGCTCGAACAAATTTGCGGCATCTGCAGATGGGCAACATGCGAATTCAGCCCCGAGCGATTGGTCATTTGGTGTGAACGAAGTTGTCCGGTACATTTCGAACAGCTCTCAATCTTTTCCAAAAGCGCCTCCCCTGTCGTCTGTGCGCCTGCTCAATCGAGCAAGCAACACGATTACACATTTGAGCTTGTCCAGCGTCAAGTTGATACAGAAACTCGTGCTGGAAAAGCCGAAAGCATTTTTCGGAAGCTGTTTCATGAGTATTTTGGCAGACATGGCCAGCAAGAAGATTGGCACCGACAGTGTTGAAGAGGACCGTCAGGCGGCGCTAAAATCGTTGGCGGACTGCTGTGCAGGGTTGATCCATTCTTTGGTAAAATTGAATGAGGACGACGAGACCGTCATGAAGAGTGTCGCGATTGTTGTCGATGTGCTCAAGATAATCCTACCCCAAGTGAATATCGTGTTGGTGGACCAATGGGTAGAGGTGGTATACGTCTCGTTTCGTCCGTCTAGATCTGGCACCGTGAAGTTACGTCGATTGGAGCCACTGGTGAAGTACTTGCTCCTGGAGTTAGAAGAGTCCTTTGCTCGAGCAACCGTTGAAGACTACGCACGTCAAACGAAATGGCTGGCATTAGTTGAAACTGTTGGTGTTCATTTGCTAGCGGCCGGAGTATCCACAGCTGACACGGCAGTTCACGCACTGGCATGTGGCTTTGGTGAACGTGTACTCAAAGTGATCCGTGACCACGCCTTAGCCCACCAATACAAGATAATCCGAGATCACGCTGGAAAGATGTTGTTCTTATTGGGCGCTTACGCTTTCCCAACGTCTTCATGGTCAAGTGGATCATTCTCCTCCCCGGTTTCCCAGTCCTTATTGCCATTGAGAGAACTCGTGGCTGCGAGTGGTTCGACGGAAAACAGCACCGTCGACGAATCTCCAGGGAGCGCCTCCGAGAACGGCATCCATTTACATGCGAAGGAAACCGCAATGCAGTGGCTATCATGCTGTGAAAAGCACGGCGATAGACGCGATATGCTTGCTGTTCTTAACGAGTTACTTCCTGTCGCTCTTTTGGCGCAAAGCCACCCGAAGGCAGAGGTAGCCGTTCAAGCGAAGAACGTCACGGATGCGGTATCGCTGTCGCTACGAATGTACTTTGTGCCACAAGATACTACCGCCGAAAGTGCGTTGACACAATTGCTGGAGCTGTTGAAGCGTTTGGCCACCTCTCAAACATGGAAGACGCGTGGTGCGGTGCTGCGATTCACCATGACGTTCGCCTTTTACCACTGGGTTTTCTTCACCAGCGTCTTGAAGGAGCAGGTGCATACTTTTACCTGCTCATTCTTGACGGACAAACAGCGAGAGGTGCAGGCCATGGCAAAGTACGCTCTACGGGGCCTCCTGCACAACGAACAACCTGCAGCCGTGGAGGCGCTTGGTGTGCGCTTCACAGAGAGCGCGGGGCAGGCACGCGTGAAGTTCCCGAAGCTGATGCGTCGTTGCGAACGTCTGCGGGCCGACGGAGCCCCCAGCGAGGAGCTGAAGAAGGTCCAAGATCGCTTGGAATCCCTCGAGGCGACGATGACGGAGAGTGTGCTGAGTCTGAGCGCCATCGTTCTGGCGTTCCCACATGACGTGCCAGCTTTCGTACCACCGATCATTGAGGAACTGGGCCGGTTTCTCTACATGAAGCGGTCCTCCAACATTATCTCGTTCCTAGAGAAGACCGTGAAGGAAACGCTGCTGGACTTCAAACGCACGCACCAGGACAACTGGCTGGAGATGAAGACTAAGTTCTCAGTGGCGCAGCTTGACGTGATTGAAGATGTAGCCATCGCACCGAGCTACTTCACTTAGGCTTGATGGACGACGCCAACTTGGCGACGTGGCCGTACATGGAGTAGATGATAGCGACGTTGGCCATGGCTGAAGAGCTGGTAACGACGCAAAATCGAGTTATGATCACTGCTCGGCAATAACGATAAGCCTCTAGGTCCGAGTCACTGATAGTGACGGGTAAACTCGAACGAAGTTTGACGCCGGCGCGTCAGTGTCCGTGTTCAAGTGAATAAAAAGTACTTTGTATAGAATTGGTTTCGGCCCACTTTTGATTTTTTTTTATTATTATGGTGGGCAATAAGCTACACTACGCGACAGGATAGATCGGCCACCCACGTCGGTGGCAATAGCTTCGTCAATTTTAGGAGTTGGAGCCTGCCATTTAGATATGTTTTATAGCTAATTCAGAGTAAGACGATGTTTGTGCTAACAATCTGGATTTAGCAGTCTATCGGGTGGCTAGCATACAGAGCATCGCTTTTGGCACTGCGACAGATTAGATCGGCCACCCCCATCTTTACTAAAATGAAGTATAGTTGTATCGAAAAGATTGACGCTCAGTAATGTGTCCTGTTTCCTTGCCTATCAACCACTTCTACGCATCGACGCGGCATGGACTCGATAAGCGACTCGAGTAGAGCGATGGGGATTGATTCCCACGCTTCGAAAAGCGCAGCAGTAAGGTCTGCTACGCTTTCAAACTGTTTGCCATTATTATAAACTCTTCTACTCATTATGGACCACAAGTTTTCTATGGGGTTCAGATCTGGGGACTTGGACGGCCAGTCTAAAACATCAACATCTTGCTCTTGAAAAAACTCCTTTGTCCGCTTTGATGCATGAATACTTGCGTTGTCTTGCTGATAGATGTAATCTGTTCCGTAGTTTAAATGCGCGAAGGGGAGGAGAAACTCAGAGACAGTGTAGATATAATCTTCTGAGTTCTGCCTTCCCTTCAGCACAACCAGCTGCGACTTTCCGAGCTTGGAAAATGCAGCCCATACCATAACAGAGCCGCCTCCTGCTTGTCGCCTCTTAGTCTGGCGCGGGGGCTTTCGCAGGTCCCTCCAGTAGTGCTGAAAGCCGTCGGGGCCGTCTAGGTTCCACTTTTTCTCGTCTGAGAAGATGATGGTATCCCAGACGACACCGGCGTCTTTTCGAACTAGCATGGAAGCAGCCCACGCTTTGCGAGCCACCATGTCCTCGGGCTTCAGTGGCAATGTGTTTTCCATCTTAGTGTACACCAACCAGTCCACCCTAGAAAGGGTGCGCTGGATGGTGCGCACCGAGACGGAGAGTTTCACCTTGGCCTTAAGCTTAGCGGCC